AAGTATTTCAAAATCATCATAAAACAGTTGCCAAGTAAATATTTCATTATTTTATCACGATTGGGAGAAAGAAAAATGTGGGTCTTCGTTTTTCGGGTCTTCGGTCTTCGGTCTTCGTTTTGTAGACACCCGCATATAGGGGACGTGTCTATAAAACGAAGACCCTTAATTCTGTCTCTTATACACATCTAGATGTGTATAAGAGACAGATATATATCTGGGCGTGAGCTCCATGCCCATACTGACTGTAACGTGAAGTATGTAGCAAAAAAAGTGAAATAGGCTTACCTGATAAAAGGAAGCTTCAAATAGAAAATAGCAAGTAAAATAGCTAAACTCACACCAACCGCCACCTCCCACCAAATCCAGTTACAGTGAAGATCTCCTAAATTTAAATTCCCCAAAGTATTATCGATATTATCACAGAGAGCCGTAATATTTGTGTTATACAAAAATAAAAATCTCTTTTTGTTATTTTGTGTCCAATTTATAAACCACACCAAGTCACAGTTGCATTTAAATGGGTTTCTATATACTGATAAATGCGTTAAGTTCGTCAGATATTGCAATCCCAGTGAAGAATTTATAGTTTCTATCAAATTATCGTGTAGAAACAGATCAGTAATGCTACTTTTAGAAGTTTCTAAAAACGCGTCCGGAATATCCTTAATTAAGTTGTTGTATAATTCCAATTGATTAAGTCCAGTCTGTTTTGAGAATAGAGTACTAGGAAGAGATTGTATGTTATTATTGCCCAGGCTTATCCATTCCAAGTTTGGGGAGTTCGTGAACACACCTTCGCTAATGTTCATTAAATTAAGATTTTGAAGCATGAGGGTTGTGAGGCTCCTTAGATCTGCAAACCACATAATATGTATCTGTTTTAGGTTATTTTCCGCTAGTGAAAGACACTGCAACTTATCCAGACCTCTAAAAGCTTCCTTATTTATGTTGGTAGACACCAATTTGTTTTTTGCTAAATTTAAAGATTCGAGAGCAATTACATTGCTAAAGCTATTTTTGTCTAATTTTGCAATGTAATTATTTTGTAGATTCAGGTGTTTCGTATTGGTTTCGAGGTTTGGCACCTTTTTCAGGTACTTTGATTCACAGTCCACGAACATAGAAATACAATCGCCACAATAATGGCATGTACAGGAGTCAGGTCCTTTACAAATCAAAGTATCACAAATACCACAATCCTTAGGCCTACTGCAAATGTCTTCGGCGACGGTTCTTGAGTTTCGAATGTAGTAGCTAAACAACACAACCACAAACAGATAATCTGAATTCGAACAGCGCATTTTGGCTGACTGACCACTGCCTCTACTGATACGAATGAGGAAGTTTCGGATAAAACGCTGCATGTTATAGTTTCAATCAATTGTGATAATGAATAGTTTCCTTGTTGCAATCGACGTTGATGTCGAAATATATACCGGTATGTAGTACCGCTAGGCCAGGCCTTACTTTTGTTTGAGGGAAACAGCGCCAAGACGCGCTCTGCCGCCGGCAGTGGTCGTACAACGTTGGCTGCCGCTTTGGAACTCATTAAATTGACTCAAATTCAGGCAATAATGTGCTAAAAAGATGAATACTATATATATCTAGTATAAAATGATTTAGAGAGAAAAAAATATGGGTCTTCGTTATTCGGTCTTCGTTTTGTAGACACCCATATAAGGGTGTCTATAAAACGAAGACCCTTAATTATCTCATCCATCCCATGTTGGTTTCACTACCAGATGACCGATGCTACATATATGCATCACTATGCAACATTCCTACTGTTTATTTTAACATGAAGCAAGTTTGTGAATGAAATATTCAAGGCCTTTGTAGGTCCTCAAAATACGCGTACCGCTAGGCCAGCCTTACTTTCGTTGGAGGGCAACATGGAACAACATTATGGCTGCCGCTTTGGAACTGGAATAAAAAGTAAATAATTATAATTTACTCCGATTCAGGAAATAATGTGCTAATAAGACGAATACTATATACCTAGCATGATTAAGTGATTTAAAAACATTATTTTCATCACGTTTTGTAGACACCCATATATGGGTGTCTATAAAACGAAGACCTTTGATAATTTCAGAAACTAAAGTTTAAATAGCCTCGTAATTTTGATTTTGTGACAGCCAGGTGTATTATCATCAAAACAAAAGAGAAAAAATAGGGGTCTTCGTTTTTGGGTCTTCGGTCTTCGTTTTATAGACACCCATATAGGGTGTCTATAAAACGAAGACCCTTAAGTATTTCTTGATTTTCCTAATTTTATTCCGATGAAATAATGAAATACGTACTTGGCAACTGTTTTATGATGATTTTGAAATACTTACAATAAGATAATGGCGAAATAATTGAAGGCCTTCGTTTTTCAGGTCTTCGGTCTTCGTTTTGTAGACACCCATATATGTGGTGTCTATAAAACGAAGTCCCTTCAATATTTTACAAACAGACGCCCAAAAAATTTCGTAATTTTGATTTTGTGACAGCCAGGTTCAATATCATCAAAATAAAATAGAAAAAATAGGGGTCTTCGTTTTTGGGTCTTCGGTCTTCGGTATTCGTTTTATAGACACCCGCGAAAGGGTTGCTCAATTATTTTACCACTCACTAATTTTGAATTTTTCTACTGATCGATAACGAACACAACGCTATATCACCAACACATAAATCAGAATGTAAAAAGGCCAAAAGGCAGAGAACTATAGACGGAGTTTTTTTAGCCGGAATGTAGTACCCATCTATAGAACAGCTATCTATGCTCAGCATGGAGTAAGTGCGAAAATCAGCAGGCCACCGACTCTTAGGGGCCCTTTTGAGCTACCCATGAGGGTCCAGTAGGGTCCTCGCTCTATATACCACCCTGATCCTAGATGGCTTTGTTATTAACAGCATAATGTGTCTCTGACAGCGACTGTATGACATATATTATATTAATCCAGAGGACACGGAACTAGGGGGTGCTGCGTTATGGAGAGTAATGTGTGACCGGAAATGGTCTGCCAGTTACCATGCGCCAGTGGTGTTGGAGTACAGCGAGATGAAATTATTTATGTAATTCATGAATAAAGTTCAAGGTTTGTCGGGTAGTGAAATGATTATTGTACATTTTAAGTGCTCCCTCCATGCATGTAAGCTAAATTACGGTGATTAATTAGCGACGATATGGAGACAATTATTTCGAAGTTCCCTCTTTCCAAGGGGGATGCAATGCTTTGTGAAAATTAGGAATAAGGAATACACTCAGCTGGTTGGCTAACAATATGCAAATTTACATGAACACCTGGGAAGAAAGGTGCAATCACGTTCTGTTGCCTAGCAAACGTCTGTACTGTAGCGTGGGAGGGCGGGGACTAGCCTACTGATGTACTGTGTATAGCGGGGGACGATGAAGCATAATATGACTAGGCCTAAGTAGACAGTGCAATTATATGTGATAGAAAGTACACTTTCGAAAGAAATAAAATTCAAATAAGAAAACAAAATTAACTAGGGCCTAAGAATAATTCAGTTGCAGACGTACCTTATTTAAATAATGCTAACTATGCGCCTCTTGTAGCCCTAGCTAGGCAAGGCACTGGTGTTTGTTTATCCATGAAAAAAGCACGCCGGAAGAGTTTGCCTTACCAGGAAAAGATGACGTAATCTAGCTTATGACGTATGCATGCTAACTATAGCGTGAGTGTGACGTCACCAAAAATTTTTTTTTTTTATTATAACCAAAATATTATTAACTACAAGGTTTGTGGGCGTAAATTCCCTTAATACAAATTAAGGGTAGCACCATCTCCTTGCTATACAAATTACAGCTCCCATTGACGTATCAGTCGAGGAATACGGGTAGCTGAAGTTTTTCTCGAAAATCTGACTACGAAACCAAATCGAAATTTTCGAATCGAAAAGACTCTGAGTTGTGCTTCGCACACGCCCGCTGGCGTGGCAATCCGGGAACCCTGAGTGCAGTGGGGGTGTCATGAGTGCTGAGGCCCAGCCGGCCAGGGCCACCCTACATTTGTCAAAATTTTAAAAATTTGAGATAAAATTTTCAAATTTTAATGAGTGCCATTTCCGGGCATCTAAAAGTGCCATAATCATAATCAGGGGCGGATTTAGAGGGATAAAAAAAAAGGAAAAAAGGGAAAAAAGGAAAAAAAAGAGAGAAAAAGAAAAAAAGTGATAGCCCAGAATTCCTCAAATGTTATGTTCGGGCGTCTAGAACACAACAATTTCGCGGGGGCATGCCCCGGACCCCCTACGACAGTGTTCCGCCCCTGATAATTTGCTTTGCGACACCCAGTATAGAATAGACTATAGGTCCTCTGATCAGACCTTTCCAACGCCCGTGAGGAGAGTGGTGTCTAAGGGAGAAGGAGCATACGAGGGTGTATAACTGTCGACGGGAGGAAGTCAATAATTTTGTCGAGAAACACTGCTTTGAAAAAGAATTATTACCGTTTGAGAGTGCCATTTTCGAGCGTCTGGGGAGGGGGCCTATTCTGGAAAGTTTTTTCCAAGGGCCACTGATCCTTAGCGGCCCCTTCGTTGCCCCTACCCATATTGTCCAGTAGGGTCCTCGCTCTATAGCATCCTGATCCAAAAGGGCTTTGCTGATACAAAACAGCATAAAATGTGTCACTGACATCGACATCGATATTAATCCACTGGGGTGGGTTGCCCAGCCGGCCAGGACCCCCTACATTTGTAAACATTTTTTTTTTAAATGGAGATAAAATATTCAAATTTCTGAAAAAAAAAGTCTGAATGAGTGCCATTTCCGGGCATCTTGAGGTACCAAAATAGTAATTTGCTTTGCAACTCCCAGTATAGAATAGACTATAGGTCCTTGTTTAAACTTTTGCGACGCCCGTGAGTGAGAGGGAGCATAGCCCGTCAATATTTTTTGTCGAGGAAAAATGCTTTCATGAAAAAACATATTTTTTTACCATCTGAGAGTGCAATTTTCGAGCGTCTAGAGGGTCCTATTCTTAAAATTTGCTCACCTCAGCGTCAGCCATGGTGGGGCTGAGGTGGGTGTGGAATACCTATTGCTCCCCCTCACCCCACCCCCACCCCAAAAAGTGTCTATAGTGGTGAATTATGGTTTAGGTTTTTTTTAAATAAAGTTTCAAAAATGTCTATGTATGTGGAAAATGTAGTTGATTACGAAAGGTTACAATTTTTATTTTGAAGACTGCATGGTCTAGAAAGTGTACATTTTTTTATGGGGCAAGTTACCAAGGGCGGGTTTTCTAGGGGCGAGTTGACTGCCAAAGAGTGTTGCCAAAGTGCGAGCCAGCGTGTTATTTGATCACAAGTGCAAGACATCGCAAGTGTGAGCCAGCGAGCCATGACGTCACTACAATAGATACGAGACGTTACTCGAGTTGCGCGAGGTATCGGCTGAGATAGTACAATTCAAAAAACAAATATAGGTCTAATAATGAATTATTGTGATGTTAAATAGACAATGTTAGCTATCAAGGAGCAACGTTGTTTTTCATTGGGACCTTCGTCCCTTCAAGGCTAGGCCTATACCATCATAGCTAGTCTAGGCCTAGAGTAAGATAAGGCTAGCGCGACATGCGGACGTTGGTACGTGTTGGTTAGTCTAAAAACGTCGCCTTAAAATTAATTGATTTTACCTGGCAGAACGAAAGAAGGAAACTCCGCTTTATAGTCGTCTTAGGCCGTTGTTTTTTGACAAACAATGACCTTTCAGAGGTCAAATTGCTGTCAAGAATATGAATTGATAAGAATGAGGAAGTTTCGGATAAAACGCTGCATGTTATAGTTTCAATCAATTGTGATAATGAATAGTTTCCTTGTTGCAATCGACGTTGATGTCGAAATATATATGTAGTACCGCTAGGCCAGGCCTTACTTTTGTTTGAGGGAAACATAGTCTGGTTGTAAAACTGCTGAAATGAACTTTAGCGGGAAAAAAGAAAAGGAAAATTAATTTTTGGTTTTTCTGAATCAGCATACCCTATAGTGTCTCAGAAAAAAAATCCCCATGCCTAGGGCTTGAGCATTTTTTTTTACAGCACTTTGAAATTTTGACCTAAAATACCCTATTTTAAAGTATTTAAGATGGGGTAGGGGAAATAAATTTATGTTTTTGGTCACTTTTACATATATTGTGGATATGAAATGTAACAACAACTTGGCTAAATAG